GAGGAGGGGGGCCGCTGGCAAAGCATCCGTGGGAACGTCAGCCAAATAAGATTTCCGTAGAAAATACATAAGGTTCCTTTTGCAAAACTCTTCATCCAACCTTACATATGTTTCCTCCTCCCTCTTTCTTTTGATTTTCCCCCCTCTCATCTCTAGTTTTTTTTTCCATCGGTTTTATTTGAAAGCCGTCTTAACTGTCTTACCTTTTATTTACTAAAAAAATTATTTTATATTTGCCAATAAGTTCTTACCAAACAAGTGATCGTCAAATAAAATCCTAAGATTTATTTAGATGGGTAAATTAATGGCATGATTTGATAAACATTTATTTATACAATCAAATTAATATGGAAAGATTAATCACGGGAAAACGTAGTACTATAATATTTATATCCTATTGCAATCGCATGTGCAAGATGTAACAATATCAAAGAACAAGATTCCCCGCCCGGCCGGCCCCGGTTTTTGCAAAAAGCCCATAGATTTCCAAACCACGCCACCAAAATTTCCAGAACCTCAACCTCTGCTAGTAGAACAGGGGAACTCTCACTCACCCGCCTACGCCAACAGTAAAACGGCCGAAATCTACTACAGTTGGAAACATTATTGGTTTCCAGCCGGAGTTTTACTAAACTTGGACGGAGCGGTTCCTGAGCTTTCCAGAGAGGCGGAGAGCCTTCTGGACCTCGATCTACCATCATAGCTTTGCCCATCTGGCAAGGACCCAGCGGCCATGGAAAAGGAAAGAATCCATCAGAGCAACAGTTTTGCTCCAAGGAATAAAGCCACCACCCTCCCCTCATTCTGCCAGAAAAAGGCGAATAAAACCAAAAGCCGACCTAGGCTGCAACTTCGCGATCATCAGAGGCTGTTTTGCTGTACTCCATCCAATCCAAGCACCTTAAATACCGCTGCTTGGAGCACAATCCTTAACCCAGAAATAGCACCAAGCACATTGGTTAGTACCTCCTCTCCCAACACCTCCTCTTTGCTTCCAGCTTTTCCTTCAACACCTTCGTCCAGCTTCGTCCAGAAACTCTCGCGGACATGGCGGCCGGGAAGCGCACCATCGGCCTGGCGATGGACTACTCGCCGTCCAGCAAGGCGGCGACGAGGTGGGTGGTCGAGAACCTGGTGAAGGCCGGCGACCGGATCATCCTCATCCACGTCCTCCCCAAGGGAGCAGACGCCAGCCACAAGGGGCTCTGGAAGAGCACCGGTTCACGTATGTGTGAATACACTGAATCCTCTGTTCTGTTGTGTAGCTCACTACTCTTTTCTGTTTCGCTAAGATTGCAACTGACACCATCGTTTGGGGTTTTACCTGCAACTGAAGCTCTGATCCCTCTGCTGGAGTTCATGGAGATGAACGTGCAGGCGCGGTACGGGGTCAACCCTGACAAGGAGGTGCTGGAGATCCTGCAAGCTGAGTCCAAATCCAAGCAGGTAATAGCTCTGCAGTCTACAGTAACTACTGAATTGTTCATACAGTTACCTATGTTGAGTTTCTAAGGCCAGGTTCACGCAACCAAAGCTTTAGGAGAAACCATGTTCGATCAAAATGTGCTGTTAATTGAACAGTCGATTCTATGTTGGCTGGAGCAGGTAGAAATACTGGCAAAAATATACTGGGGCGACGCAAGGGAGAAACTTTGCGAGGCTGTAGATGATCTCAAGGTGGACTCTGTTGTGCTTGGTTGCAGGGGCTTAGGGCCCTTGAAAAGGTAGTACACCTGAACCTCTTCCTGACTAAACTATGAGGATCTAGTTCTTGGCTAATCAGAGTTTTCTCATATTTCTGCATCTCCTTGGACCTCGATGCAGAGCACTCCTTGGAAGCGTCAGCAACTATGTTGTCAACAATGCAACCTGCCCCGTCACAGTGGTGCGTGGACCAAATGGATCACTTGCTTGAAGATGTCACTTCTGGAATGATGGGCTAATTTGTGTGTTCGTTGGTCTGTCAGCGTAGGTGCAAATGGTGCTATTTAAGACTGATAGTGATATTTTGCCTTTTTGGATTCCTAGCTATCCTTGTGGTGCAAATTCAGTGTGTTTTCCTCTGTTATCTCCTAGTTATACTACAATCTGTTGTTTCTTACATACTATTTGTAAAAAAAATGCCTACAGACTTGTTCAGTGGTGCATTTTCGATTATGTGCATGACTAGACAGACCCATTATTTTGGTTGCTTCTCAATGAAACCCAGTCGAAGCTGGAACCTTATTAGTTGGCAGCTGATGTATAGCATCAGCATGAATGAGCATAAACAGCTACTGCTAACTAGGTCTCTCTGGAATATCCAAGACTGAATTTTTTGTAACTAAACACAAGATTACATAGCACAAAAAAGAAACATAAGGCATTTAAATAAACCAGATAGCTTTATTTCAAATGGGAGAAAGATGCACTTTATACTTGTATATCAACATTGTGCTCCATGCTGGCTGTCTATTCTGAATTTTCTTTTACAAACGTAAGAGTGTATACTCTTAAGATGAATGGCATTTCTGGAACTCCAACCCATAATGGAAGCAGTTTCTGGAGCATATCAATCAGAACATCTTACCAGTGCCATCTTTGCGCGGGACTGATTCTTCAAGATCCATTCTGCGCCAGCTCCCAGCCAAAGATGACATCTGATCAACCTTGTCATACAACCCAAGAAGACCGCCTGTATGGACAAAGAGGACTTTTCGCCCTTTCCACTTAGATGGATTATCGGCCATGTCTTTTAGCATTGCATATGCTCCCTTCCCACTGCAGAAAAAGAAAGCATACATGTCCTCATTAAGCAAGATAAATGCTAAATCTCTTAATAAATTTGAATCTGTTAAAAGGATTGCTAGTATTATCTTAACTTGACAGAGGAAAACATTTTTATTTTTTATTTTTAACAACACTAGTAGACGATATTAAATCACATGTCACATCCCATATAGAAGAAGAGTATTGCACCTGTAGACTGGATCAAGCACAATGCCCGTTGCAGTAGCTATATCTTTAACAAACTTAAGCTCCTCGGCTGTGTTCATGGCATAACCTAAGCCCTTAGCCTGTCAAGCAAGCAAAATATTCACAAATCGACCAACTTGCAAATAGGGTGGACTCAGAAGTAGAGTTACCTCACAAAGATGAACTATGAAATGAATAAACAAGCACTACAGACGTAATTTTGGAGTTTATGCTCTGAAATATTTTATAGTCCACAAAAAACTGTTTTTACAATTAGTTTAATGCTGAAAGATAAATATACTCACATTTTGAATGCTGACTATATCATGTGAATCCAAGCCAGATTGTAGTCCATCAATCAGGCCTTGAACATAATCATAGAAGTATTCAGGGTCATCGCAAACAGAGAAAGCATGGACCTGTCCTACAAGTGGATAATTAGTATTTAAACTTCACCAGGGTAAGAAAATAGCATAAGAAAGTTCATACTTTTGCCGTTAAGCTACTCAATTTTGATCCTAAAGCAAGACCAGCAATGGTTCCACCACTGCAAAATGTTCGATTTCATCAAAAGCCATGAAGGGTCAGTGTCACAACTTCCAGGATCTAGGCCTGACACAATGGCAAGTGCACACACATAACTACTACCTCCATAAGGATAGAGTGGATGCTGATGAAATACCTGCCACAGGCAACAACAATGTCATCAAACTGAACATCGCCAGATAACTGAATTTGCTGCTCAAGCTCTCTTACTGCTTCAATATATCCCCTGTAAAAGTAAGACGCAATGTTTGTTACAAACATATGATTGACATTTCTGAAGTAACTACCATTTGCATAAATTTATGAGAACTGTTTGAACTCCAAACCTTCTTTTTAGATGCACACAATCTTATAATCTTAACCATTCCCTTTTACATATTCTGGATATAGTACGCTACATTTTCTTTGGCATATGGTTGCAGATTGAGGGCCAGTTCTTTTGGGGGATTCTACCAGAATCGCCCCCCTCCCCAGCTTCTCCCATAATCATCACTTCATATGTTTTTTACAATCCTGTCTAATTAGACCTTAACTAGATAGGATTGTAAAAAAAATATGGAGTGGCGATTCTGGAAGAAGCTGAGGATGGCGATTCTGGGAGAATCGCCGAAAAGAACTGGCCCTGAGCACAATAAGTCACTATTCATAGTATCCTACACTCCAGTGGCTAGCTACAGTATGAGACATTGGTATGTTACCCAGATCTTCTTGCTTAAATGAGATCAGCCAGTTTCATTTTCTAGACAATTCTCAAAAATAGAAAATTGCGACACTACTTCCGCAATGAGCTGAGAGATGTCAAGCCATGGATACTACTAGAAGAAATATCAAAATATGCTATGAACACGAAAAATAAGAAAAATGATGTTGCGGTTAAAACTTTGCATCAAATATGGGATAATACCAAGTTCCAAGTGAATTGGATCCACCAACAGGAATCACATATGGCTTCCGTCCTTCCTCCAAAAGCTTATTTTTAAGCAAGTCCGCTAAAGCCTATACAAAACAAATCAATGCGTGGATAGAAACCTCTTAACCAATATGGAAGCTTCAAAAATGATTAAAAGAATCAGAAAGAAGGAAATTAAGTCAATGAGGAAGTGTTAACAGGCAGTTCCACAAAGCATTTTATCTACTTGCAACCCACCAACAGGCAGTAACATAAATAATTTCAATGGAGGGAAAGGATGACACTAGTAAATATGAACGAACACTCTGAATGAACTACTTGATGCATGATCTTTTGACAACCAAGATAATTGATCAAGCATGGATCATGAGTAACGCTCTGGTATGAATAACGTTTTGACTAAACATGGGCTGACAGAACTACGAAAATCCAAAAAATAGTAACAGGATTTATAATGGAGATGAGCATACCACACTGCCAATTTTCCCATACTCTTCTTTTGAGACGAGATCAATGTGCGCTCCCAAGAGTCTCTCAACAAGGAGATTGCCAACCAAACCAGGGTCCTGATCCACAAGAAGCTGAAAATGTCCAACCAAAATCAGGTCAAACCAATTGCATTACGACGCAGAATTCCATCAATACCACCTCACAAGCACACAGATTACCTTGGAAGTACGCAGTATCAAATAACAGTCAAGATTGAGATACTTGGCAGCCACCGCCGTCGCACGGCAGTGGTTGCTCTGGATACCACCGACAGTGATAACGCAGTCCGCACCCTGCGCGACGGCATCGGACAACAGAAACTCGAGCTTCCGGACCTTGTTCCCGCTCAGCTGCATACCCGATAGATCGTCCCGCTACAGTGTCACCAAAGCTCCCTTGTCAGAACACAGATGCCACTAAGCATTCTATCTTCTACCCTTATACGGCACTAGAAAATGAACAGAATGGTGTGGTTCGTGCAGCACCTTGATCCATACTTCAGTGCCCTCCGGCAGATTTGGCAGATTCCATTTGTGAATCGGGGTCGGGAACTGTTTGGAATACGAAAAAAGAAAGCTATGAATTACACATGATTGATACTTTTTCAGACGATATCTAGTAAATAAAAACGACCTCAAAGTCACTGAGTAATCTATCTAAGTAGCTTGGGAGGCGTCAATTAGTCATTGGAGCAAGTAGGGGTAGCCCAGTGGTAGAGACGGCGAAGCTTACGTGGCCAAGGGAGAAAGTGTGGGATGGGGCGAGGGCGAGGTGCGAGGCCCAGGACGGCGGCGCGTAGGGCTTCTTGGAGAGGAAGCTGCCGATCTGTGCTGCGGCAGGAGAGGCGGCGGAGACTCCGGCCATGCCCGTGGCGGCGATTGAGCACCGACGGCGGACGGCGGCGAGATGGGAGATGAGTGGGAGAGTGGAACTGACGGCGACGGGGAGGGCCGGTCTCAGGAGCATGAGGGGATTGACAGATTCGCGCACGCTCGAGTGCAGGGCCGGCGGAAGACGGCTGTACCAGCCCCGCTGCCCACGTGTCACTGACAGTCCGCAAACGATAATTTTTCTTTTTGGGACGCAAACGATAACTTCTGTTATGAACTTACTTTTAGTTTGATATATATATATATACATACATATAGTGTTATTATTCATCACTCAGGGTGCAGAATAAGTTATTCTTCACCTGAGGTAATCTTAGATCATTCATAATTAAATTACGTTTTGAATTCAAATAGTTACATTTATATTGATTCACTACGTAAAATTTGACATAAAAAAATAATAATATAGGTCATAAAACAAGAAAATTTGCAATTTATGTATATTTTAGACTATGTTTTTATGTTTGTAATTTTACGTAACATAAAATATTTTTTACGGCGATTATGTATTTTCTTACGGTCCCTTTTTGCGTCGGAAATAAGACAAAACTTACGGAATATAAAATTACGATGCATTGATGGTAAAATAGAGGGGGGTGAAGAATAACTATTCCTCACCCAGGGTGACGAATA